ATTCAAACAAACACTCAAACAAACCACACCAAAACTCACACCCACACTCACGCCAAACGTACCCATTGAAACGAATAAAGAATCCAGTCCTCTTTGCAATTTGGCTTAGTGATTTAGTTTTAGTAAGAGTTTTACGGCACTTGCAATACACATTTTATGTAATACATGTATAAGTGCCGAAGAATAGAGGTGTTACGAGAGAGTAACACACAAAGAAATGAGGAAAGAAATGGGAAATATAATAATAAACGATTGGCAGGAAAGTTGGAGCAAACCACTCTAAGGGCGCCCATTGATCCCCGTCCCCCACCCCACACGATAAAAAGAGGTAGAGGTTGATTAGGTCTAGTTAAAGAGAAGCAGATCAACGTTTTCCCACCATTATTTGTACACAGGAGGGCAAAACAGACGGACAAACGCAATGCCTCTAAAAATAATTCTTAAAATATTTTTTTAACGAAGGAGATCAAGTGTTATCATTCCTAAGATATGCAAGTACCCCAAAAATGTATAAAGTAAAAAAATCCATCCTTTTTTTGGTTTGATAGAGTATAAATTACATAACCTATTTTGTTTCAACAGTAAAACTTTTACTTAAACTAAACTTTTCTTTCCATATCAACTATATTCATAAGAGTACTATGGGGGGCTCTCTTGGCCTAGATGTTAAGGTGTTGGCCTCTCATTCAAAGGTCCCGGTTCGAATCCGGGTAGCGACTGAAAAATTTTCTTCTCTAAAATTGTCTCCTTTCACCTCCTTTCCTGCGCTCTAGCAATGTTTGTCGTCTGCTTTCGTCTCCTCTTTCTGTCCCCACCCCCTCACCTTCTTTGCTCCCTCCTCTGGGCTCCTAACTCTTTCTGCAGCCTTTCTACTGCTACTCTTTGGCCCCTTCTTACTGCTGTCTTTCAGTCACACCCCTGATCTTCTGGTAGGAAAGATGTACACCTAGCCTTCTCGGACAAGTGCGAAAAATCTCGGAGGGCCCGTGTGCAAGTTGCGCACGTCAAAGATCCCTTGGTGGTCTAAAATCGATAAGAGTAGGCTTCGGCCGCCACCCTGGCAAAATTCAAAATTTCCTACCAACTGAAAATATTAGATGGGTCCCGCGCGCTCATGATTATGACCTTATGCAGTAGCGAGCGCCGTAACACACTTACCAAAATAAGATTTAAAAAAGTATTATGATCGTTACTTGTGGCTGTAAAGCTCTAATATGGTTTAAGAAAACACTACCAACGGCAGAGCTTCATAAAATTTATTGTAGTGTCGGATTTGAAGAAACAGGAGAATGCAAATAGCTGTTGCTTTTGACCTCTCTTCTAGAAGTGAGGAAGTGGAGTGAAGAAAAAGTGTGAGAGAGAGCGACACAGAGAGAGAGGGAGAGAGAGAGACAGAGAGAGAGAGAGAGAGAGAGAGAGA